AATGCAGCCTTTCATTAGAAAGTCACTTCTCAGTAGGGCGCAGTGGCTCATGCCTGTAATCCTAGCACTTTGGGAGGCAGAGGCGAGAGGACTGCCTAAGCCCAGGGGTTCGAGATCAGCCTGGGCAACTTGGCAAGACCTTATTGCTACAATAAATTTTAAAAATTAGCCAGGTATGGTGGTGTGCACCTATGGTTTCAGCTACTTGGAAGGCTGAGGTGGAAGGGATCCCCTGAGCCCAGCAGGTTGATTGCTGTGGTAGCCGTGTACACTCCAACCTGGGCGACAGAGTGAGCCTCCAACTCCAAAAAAACCAACAACAGAAAGTCACTTCTCAGCACAGAAGTGGCCTTGGAAAATCTTTCCAGGATTCTCACATCCATCTGGGAAAAGAAAAAGAATTCCAGAAACTAGGCTGAGTTTACAACCAGTTTAATTTCATATGTGTTATATTTCTGCAGCTGCCTCGTTTGTCCCTTTATCCTGTACAGACTTCCTGAAGGTGAGGATCTCACCTATTAGTAAGAAAATCTCACTTTATATCAAGTCGGCCTTTCTCTGGTAATGTTCCAAGTGCTTTGTAAGCATTCTTTCATGCCTCAAAGCAGATAGGTGGTAACTGTTATTCTTTCTGGACAAGAGGGGGCATTGAGAATCTTAGCCATACAGAATTGAAATGGTTTTCAAATGCCTGAGGGAAAGCAAAAGTGAGCCTTGGAAAATATGAGATAGGACAAATGTGACCGAAAATAGTAAGAAGAATGGTATACAAAATTCCAAAAAAGGAGAATTCTCCTATAATCAGCTTGCTCTCGGCCCAGCTTCTCAGGAGCTGCCACTCAGTGTTCAGATAGCTGCGCAGCTCTTGCACTGGCACTGGCCTGGAAAATCAGACCTGGTGAGTGTTCATTTGGCTCAAGAGATTTTCTCTCTATAATCTTTGCCAGGAAACAGGATCAACAATGCGAACTCCAAAAAGTGAAAGCCAAAACTAAAGTAACACACATGTACTTATATAAGTTAACATACAACAACTGTCACCTATGTCCTGGGCTTTTAATTTACAAAAAACACTTTCCACTTACTTATGTCATCTTGATGCTGGCCCTATGAGGCAAGCATAGTCTCATCATCCTCATTTTCCTCACTTTAAGATGAGGAAACCGACTGGGTGTGGTGGCGCAAGCCTATAATCCTAGAACTTTGAAGGCAGAGGCAAGAGGACTGCCTGAGCCAGGTGGTTCAAGACTAGCCTGGGCAACTTGGTGAGTCCTCTGTCTCTACAATAAATCAAAAAGTTAGCTTGGCGTGATGGCACATGCCTACATTCCAGCTACTTGGGAGGCTGAGGCAGAAAGATAACGTGAGCCCAGAACGTCGAGGCTGCAACGGCCATGAGCGTGCCACTGCACACCAGCCTGGGCAACAAAAAGTAAGACTCTGATTAATTAAAAAAAAAAAAAAAGGGG